TCATGCTTCCTATTCAGTCTGCCAGCAATGAAAATCATTAAGGCCATTTCTTAGATCAACCATAAAGTCACAGACCAGCACCTAGCAAAGTCAATGAGTAATATATTTTCATGCTGAAGAGTTTCTAAGACAAGTTGTCAGCTGGCCCCAGTGTCCCAGCTCCTCCTGCAAGGGCTCGGCTCAGACTGAGGGGTTTTGTTTCCCTGCTGCTCTGGCTGGGGTCTATTGCTGTTGCACATGGGTGTTCCCACCTCCTGGGGACTTACAGGAAACAAGGACATCTCCTTAAGTGGCTGCCCAAGTAGGACATTGAGTAATTTTGGTAGAAGATATAAGGAGCTCGTGTGTGCCTCATCTGGGGAGATGTGGGTCCCTGCAGTTAAGTGGACACACCACAGGGACAAGGCACAACTATACTTTTCTTATCAATGCACTCAAGGGGGGAACAGGGACCCCTGGGGCAGACTATCTCTGCAGCTGCCCATTCTTCCTCTCCCATCTCTCGCCCACGGCAACTCCTATCGATACTCCCAATAGTGGCTGTGCCCCTGCTGCTTGAGTTAATTACAGTAATTATACCTGCGCTCCTCAGCTCCAGCTCACTTCTGTTGTCACTTCCCTGCCCATTCATTTGCAAATCTAATCACTCCGTGGATTTTTTCAAAAGAAAAATCGGTAGAGAGAGCAAGGATACAAATGAAAAAAGAAAATATGATTCCTACAACAACAATACAACAGAAATTGAGGCGCCATTGAGCAGGACATGGGGTTTTATTTAGCGACCCTGTGAGGGCTGTATGCTGCTCCCAGTTCTGATAGATAGACCTTTGCTGGGTTACAGCACTAGAACAGAGTGGGGAATGAAGAAAGAATCGCATCAGCCTCCCCCAGTGCCTGCCAAATTGCCTCAAGATACTGCCCGGTGCTTGAGAGCTCACTTCCAAAAAGGCAGGAGAGCTTCCTGGGCATCCAGTGTTCCCAGCACAGCAGGATGCCCACATGGGCACAGGCACAATGAACCCCCAGCAACCATTCTCCTTGGTGTGTGTCCTACCCATTTCTTGGGCAGGTTTTATGTGTGCAAGGGGTGCTGCAGGATCTGCAGCTGTGGAAACAGAAATCTCTTTTCATGCCTGGGAGACTTTCCAGCAGTGACCCTGGAAGAGCTGTGGCTAGAAGCATGCACTTCAGGTCACCTGTCTGATAAGGATAGATTTGAGGTCAATCCTTTGAACACAGATGGGAAAAAGTGCAACCAGAAAAAAACTGGGCAGAAATGGCTTCCTAATTGTTTGCAGGTGCTCTGAAAAAGAACAGAAAGCAAGAAAACTAAGCTATGATGTGCCCTGCCAGCTGACACTGGGACCAGTGTTACATTGGTGCCAGCAGCAAAGGAGAGCAGATGGGTTTTGTCACCCAGTACTGTGTATATGGTTTTGAGGAGAAAAATACAAAACTGTTATTTTTGCCTTTTAATGCCAATACAGTGAGAGTGAGAGGCAAAGGACAGCCTGGTTCCTTTGCAGTAAGTGCAGCAATTTAATTACACTGCACTGAAGCACCTTCACACCAGCCATTACACCAATTGTTCTGTGTAGCCACACACTTCTGAGTTTGTTCACCGTATCATCCCAGATGCCAGAATTTCCCACTGTGTGATGACACTTCAGTACCAGGGCTTCTTTCTCTCATTGACCATGCTGGAAAAACAGCCCAGGGGCTGCAGAAGTCCAGGAGCTTGAGAAGGTTAGGATAAATCTTGATAAAGTACTACAAGTATTTAAGAAGACTGAAAATAGTTGTTTCTCATTACCAGAGTAAATGTTTCTTATCACTGTATGCTTTATACACAAAATATTTCTTGTCTTGCATATCTGCATAGGTAAGAGAGCACTTCTCTGGACAGAAGCAGGAGGTAGAAAGGCCTTCTGAACATCATGGGCAGGAAGAGAGGTAGTCAGGAAAACATGTTGGAAGCATTTCTATTTGCAGTTAATATCCAACTGGAATATTTTTGGTGAAGTGAAAGCAACAAATTCATTTTAATGTAACAGACGGGAAAATGCAAACCCCCCAAACTCATGCCTTATTTCCAGACAAGAAATATAAAATGAATACTGCACTGCAAAACATGTAACTGCAGCATGGCAAACTAAAGGGTCTCCAAGTCCTTTAGGTGATGTGCTCAAAAGGGTTTTCTATCTCCCAGGTGGCTGATTGCTGGGGGAGGAGAGAGAGGACCTACAATTAGGTTGATTAAAATAGTGGTCCCAGCATGGTCTGTTCTTCACTGTTGCCAGGAGACTAGAAGGCTAGGATGAACAGTTCAAACTTTTTGTAACAAAAATAGGTGTTTACTTCCATACCATATGATCTTGGCCCTCTCTAAGGCTTAGCATTCTCCATTAGTTCACAAGAAAAAAATCCCAAACTTCACTTTCCCAGACTTGTGTTAAAATAGATTTGCCATGTTCAGAACTGCACCAATTCTTCCCTTCCTCCATCATCCCAGCCCAGTGGCAAGCTCCAGGCTCTATGCTAACTGTTCAGTGGCTGTTCTTTCACTTTTTGTGATATTAATCGGGTCTTTCTTTCCAGATCTGGGCCCTGGAACCCAGGAAGCTGTCAATTCTAGCTTATTTATCCCCTCCACAGAATCTACATCTTAAGGAAAGGTTGGGCAGGTGGCTCAACTGATGGGTGAAGACACTGAGATGGGCAGCCATTCACAGTTATTTGGTGGACATACACTACCCTCAGTCAGTGACTTATGCTGGAAGAGGTGACTGTAATACATCAGGAAACAGAAGATCTTAATGGAGAAACCAAGCCAGATTATTTTACCAACTTGCTCCATTTCCCCCCACTTCCCCACATGATACAGAAGTAAAAGAAACACTAAATATATTGGTGGGAGAAGGTTACAGTCCAAAGTGAAGCCCTACTTTTTTGCTCAAGTCCCTTTTGGTTAGCATCCTAAAGCATACAGAAAAAAAGCACCAAAAGCCAAAAAAATAACAAACTAAAATAATTCTGCAGTAGTTGCTGTTCCAAATTTCTGAGCCTGCAGATCTTTATGCATTTGAAGCATTTGATTTAGACCCTTTCCTTCAAGGTAGGTCTTGTCTTTCCTAAAGCCAAGTGCATTAATAAAACTTAGCCAATATGCCTTTTCTAAGGCTTTTGCTTGTTATACCTGTTACTACAAAAACTGTACATGCTAAGCAATTTCCTTTTTAACACCAATGGATGTTAAAATCCTGAAGTAGGTGGCAAGGGGCTGTGATGAACAGAAAGAAGGCATGACAGAGTTTTAGAAAAGGACAGATATGACAGTGAAGGTAGAAAATTGCAAAAGTAGCAGCAAAATTAGCTGAAAGCTGAAGTCCCTGCTACAAATACACTGAACATGAAGGGTTTGAATGCCAAAAGAGAGAGGATCCTTGCTCCTGTTAACACAGCAGCAATCAGGCAATAGCTGGAAAGAGGTATTTAAACCGCCCTGTGTAGCTGTGTTGCAACACAGTACATAATTACTCATCATGCTCCTTTCCACAGCCTGCACAGGCTGCCTGCTGGAATTCATAGAATCACAGGTTTGGGCTGGAAAGAACCCTAAAGATCACCTAGTTCCAACTCTCCTGCCATGGACAGGGGCCCATTCAACTAGACAGGGTTGCTCAGAGCCTCATCCAACCTGGCCTTGAACACTTCCATGGATGGGGCATCCACTACTTTTGGCAATCTCTTCCAGTGTCTCACTGCAACAACCACCCTCACAGTAATGCATTTTTCCTAATATCGAAACCTACTCTCTTTCAGTTTGAAGCCATTCCCCTCTTGTCCTATCAGTACATGATTTTGTCAAAAGTCCTTCCCCGTCTATCTTGTAGGCTCACTTTAGGTACTGGAAGGCTGCAATTAGGTCACCCTGATGCCTTTTCTACTCCAGGCTGAACAAATTCAGTTCTCTTAGCCTTTCCTCATAGGGAAGGTGCTTCATCCCAATAAAGAATTTGGACCTTCACTGGATGTACTCCAACAGGTCCATGTTAGAACTTCTATGCTGGGGACCCCAGAGCTGTACACAGCACTGCAGGTAGGCTTTCACCAGAGCAGAGGGGCAGAATCCCCTTCCTCACCCTGCTGGCCACGCTGCTTTGGATGCAGCCCAGGATACAAACTGTCTTTCTGGACTCCAAGCCCTGGGTTATGTCCAGCCTCCCATCCACCAACACCCCCAAGTCCTTCCCAACAGAGATGTTCCCATTCTGTTCATCCCCAGCCTGTGTTGATAGCAGAGGTTGCCCCAACCCAGGTACAGCACCTTGTACTTGACCCTGTTAAACCTCATGAGGTTCACATGGCACTATTTGTTGAACTTTTCCAGATCCCTCTGGATGGCAACCCATCCTTCAGGTGTGTCAACCACACCACTCAGCTTGCTGTCACCTGTAGATTTGCTGAGGGTGCACTTGATTCCTTCATCTATGTAATTAATAAAGATATTAAATAACAGTGGTCCCAGTACAGACTCTCAAGGGACACCACTTGCCAGTTGCTGTACTCTGTAGCCACTTCAGCATGGTTTGGCTGTGACACTCCTTGGATACCATCTGGATCAGGCAGAGAGGAATTCACACAAGAACCTAAAAGTCTCCTGACTAAATCCCATCATGTGCATGAGGCCTTCATAGTTACCACACCAAGCCTGCTGCTTCCTTGTATTCTTGTGGAGATATGGCACCATTCCCAGGGATTTCTAGCCAGAGAAAGAGGACAAGCAGCAGCAGCGCTACCACAAAGTCTGGTTTGGTCTTCACCGCCTTCAGACTGGACAGCAGCTCTGTTACTGGACCTTCCTTGTATTTGCTCCAACATATACACCCAGTACTAGGAACAAGGATCTCTGGCAGACAGATCCAGGAATCCTTGGAGGGGCTCAGACGAGAGCATGAGAGCACAGCCACATTAGAGGATACAAACCCACTACTAATTGTACTAGAAAAAGAGCCTCAGATTTCTCAACAGCATTTTAATAGCACTGTTTCTGCTTCAAAACCACCTTGATTGGATGTCAAGTACACATTATAAAGGCAGGTCAATCCAGGTGTGAAGCAATGTAGCATAGAGATAGCAGCTGAGAGTGCCAGAAGCAAAAAACTAAAAACACACCCCAGAACCTTAAACCCAGCAAGCTCACAGTGGAATTACTAAATGAATTGCTTCTTGCAACCTCAGATGCTAATTATTTTTGTGTTTTAATTTTTGTACTTAACGTTCTTCTGTCCAAATTAAAGTAAATCTAATTTAATGCCCCCACACAGACTCCAAGCATTTTTTTCCTTGAGAGCTTTTGCTTCAAACCAGCACCTAGATACCACAGGAGGAATAGTGTCATTTTAACTCCTATGGTGGCTTTTGTCTTTATGTTGTGAAGACATTAAATTGTGTAACAGTGAAAGTATGGGCCTTCAGTCATGTCTGTCAACTAGATATAGCTATCCACCCTTCAACAAAAGCTATTGGGAGGGTAACTGTGCCCAAAGAGATGCACTTCAACATGTTAACAGAATCCAACAGATGCTTCTCAGGTTCATTTCCTGACTCTGCAAGAAGGGAGAGGCAGCCATAGAGCTCAAGGGTGCATTTCTAGCTTACCCTCATAAATTCCTATCTATTTAAAAACTCTTCTTGGATAGCAGCCTCAGAGTCTTGCTTATATTCCTTCCATCTTGGCTATTGATCCTCTGACATTGTGTATTCCTCAAGTTTCCAGAAAGTCCTTGTGGCTAAGACAAAAAGATTTACAAGTCAAGATTGCTTTGTAGGGTCTGCAAAACCAAAAGTTGTTATTTAGCATCTTGACATCAAAGTAGGTGGTCAATTTACAGAACTATATATCCAACACCTATTTTGCCATAGATTCATATCACTTCACAGAAGCTCTTTGCTTCCACCTTGATGACCTTTGCCATTGATGGTAGGAGAGCAGGACATTTGTCTCAGCAGATAAATGGCTTCACAGATGCAGAGCAATCTGTGAGGTAATGTTATTGAGTAGCTGACACAAGGGGGATTAACAAGAATATGGGTTATCTTCATAACAAATACAGCCTGCCACAGACCTCAATATTTAAGAGCAGCCTCTCAGGGTAGGTTTGGTAGCTTTGGTCAGTCAATAAGACCTAGTACTAGTCTCAGCAAAAGTCTCAGAACTTAATAAAACATGGTTTATGTTTTGAGTCTCCCAGAGATGTTTCTACTGCAAGCTGCTCCTCACATGGCCAAATTCTGTAGAAGACCAGGGAGGAAAACAAAGGTGCTGGTGAGCCAACAGGCAACAATGTTTTTTGTCTTTGTAAACAATGCATTGATGCCCTCAATCAGAATTCTCCTCAGTGACATGGGGTGAGGAGGAATACAGGCTGGCAGAGGAATACAGGCTGGAACAGCTCCATCCAAAAGTCCCTGCACTTCTTTGCTTTTCTCACGCATTTGTCCTCAGCTGTGATCACACATCATCCCATGTCCACAACCAACATACAAGACAGGATGAAGGTCCCCTCATGTACTCATTGTCAAGCTCACAAAGAAATTCAAGAAGAATTCAAAGAAATTCAATACTATCATATTCAAAAGCCATTGCCATCTTCAGAAGCAGCACTTACACTAGCCACCCTTGCCTTGTTGTTTTCCTAGAAAAAGAAGCAAGCAAATACTTGCCTTTTTCCAGGTCACCAGACAAAACAACCCTGTTCCTTGGGACCCTCCCTGCTCTGGCCTCTTCCCCCTGTTCCTTCTTCCCTTCCTTCTTCACAATGCCCACATGTCACACCAAATGAGCTACCAAAGCCTTCAGCAGATGCACTCGTTAACTTCAGCAAGAGAAGACGCAACCAAAATTCAGAGCTGCAACCTCATTATAATTTGTAATGAGTTGATGGAAAAATATTTCTGCCTGATTAGAATCTTTAGTGATCTCTTGATTATTTTGAGTGGAATATAGCTGGCCTCCTCTTTGCCCCAGACATAATTGCAGGACAGCTTCTAGTACACTGCATGTATCTCTTACACTCAGCCCAACAGGAAGAGGCACACTCACTCTTCCCCTTCTGTGCCACACCCTGACAACAGCAAAAGAAAAATATTGCTGGTATTAATATATCAGCCCTTGCTATAAATCAGGGTTAAGCTTTTTGCTGCTTGGGAAAAACCTTTAGTCATCAGCATTGTCACCAAAAACATCAGCCAAAGACACTGAGTCATGTTGCACCAGAGAATGTGCTGTGGTTGGGGGTTTTAAGACCCTTTAACAAGTGCTTGGAACCAAGATGCTCTTTTTCCCTTGTACCTATTAAAAAATTGTTTGGCTGAAGCAATGTTGAGTAATTCCACTTGCAGAGAAAAACTGCAAAATAGGTATTTACAAAAAGCATGCACTCAATACTGCATGGTAACCACAGAGCTGGGGGTTCACAAAACGCAGCTCAGGAGCTATCACACTTTCCCCAGATATCCTCCCTGCTGGCAGCTTCAGGAGGAGCCAGAGAGGCCATGACAGCAAATGTTTCATCATCCCAAGGGGGATCCCTGCAAGGTGGGCTGTGGTGCCTCTGCAAGGCTGTTCCCTGAATCACATCAAGAGTTTTCTTGTCTTCTTTCAGCTTGGAACTACACATGTCCCCACAAGACCCTCTCCCTGCACAGCCTCCACATTTCCCCAGCACTACAGGCCCACCTGAAGACCAATAGAGGCCAGCCCCTCTCCACTCCACATATAAAGTCTGGGACTTTATATATGAAGAGTCCTCCACCTTCATCTCCTGTCCATTGCCTCCAGTTCAAGGCCCTCAACTCCTCCTCCTTAAAATGCTTAAGACAAACCCCTTGCAGCCTGAGCTCTTGGCTTTCTCTCCAAAAGCCATGACAGCAGTTTTCATCAAGTGATTCCTTCTTCCATAGGGACCAGCAGCATCTTTTCTCTGGATCCCCAACACCAGGCCAATGAGTGGGAGGGGACAGGAGAGGTTCTCCAAGCACAAATTACTTTCTAACACAACTGATGCCCTTGGCATAGAAATCAGTTTAGGTTAGCCCCTTATAAATACATAGAGGTAGATTTTCAAAAAGAGGTGGAGCAAAGGAGGGAGGGAGGGAGGGGTCTGGAATTTACATGCAATTGACTAGAGCAACTGAACTGATCTTGGGAACTGAGATGCCTCATTTGGTCTTGGTGATTCAACTCCAGCCCACACAACTTAAGTTCTTAAGATGATCTGGTGATGGAGCAAAGTGATTCATATGACTAGGAAGGCTTGGATAGGACACCTTGGTGACCACTGTGACTCAGTCTTTGCCACTGTTGTATCACAAGGAATGGCTGGGCCCAGAAAGACACAGTCAGTTGGTTTGTAACTGTGACCTCCACTGGTTATGACAGTTTCAAGGGACTCAGGCACAGCTGCAATATATGTAAATACCTACATATATATTCATAAATGTTAAGAGATACAAACTTTCTTGTTAAAAGTTTAGCCCTGTTATAAGCAGAAGTATAAAGCAGGAAGAAACTGCTCTGCTTGGCATGTTTTAAGTGTTGTCCATTTGTGTGGCTTTTCCACCGCCCTCTGCACCAGCCAGAAAAAACTACTTTTAGAAGCTGCAGGCTGAACTAAATGGAGCATTGGTCTAATCTGGCCATTAAGATTCTTATGGTCTTATGTTATGAATTGTGGTTTTTAATTGTAACTAGTGCTAATATTTTTAATTACTTTTTTCCATCCATTGTCCTTTAGTCTGTGTAATGCCAGATGTTTAGAGCATGTGGTTTGTCCTTCCAGCAAAAAAGAACTAGATTTGTGCTTGGGAATAGTCTACATATTTGCTTTATACAAGCAGCCCTGAAACAGAGGTGGTGAACAGCCTGCAAGTGCTCTCAGGGACCTCAGTCCAGGACTGGTGTAGATTTCCCTTTGAACTGATGTAGATGAAAACCCACAATAAAACACTGATGCTTACAAAGCTCTCACTTTAGGTCTCTTGACTCTGCCCCAAACCTTGCAAAATCTCTGTGCCATATCACATCCTTCTGTGGCCAAACAAAAGAAAAACAAATTGAAAGACTGTGTGTAGTGGGATCATCCATTGGCACATGCCATGACAATATAAACATATCCTGTCTCTTGACACTGGTTATTCAATTTTTAACTCGGCCATTAATACTCAGGACTTGCAATGCTTTCAACCCCTATATATATATCAAAGCTCTTCTGTGAAATGAGAGATGCTGTGTAGGCTGCTAGAAGCCTAGAGATAACCCGTTAAGATTTGGAAATAGTAGCTAATATACTCACTGACTCAGCTGCAGATCAGAAAAGTGAAAAACCCTCTGCCCAAATTACAGCTGGTTTGGTGTGAGGCCCAGAATGACTTCCCTGGTGAAATGTAGTATGGAGTTCAAAAACATCTTTATGTGAATGTTGTAGTAACATAGAGCTGCCTTTGAAATCTAAATTCCCCACTTCTTAATATAGTCTCAAGCAGAATCTGTTGTTTGAATCCATATGGCATAATACACCTGTCTGAGCACTTCTCATTGCTATTCCAATGCAGGCAATGAGGTCAGAGATTTTCAGCACTCTGCTTCCCAACCTCTCCCATTTGTAACCGTGCAGTATGTGTGTATTTATGGGCAGAGGCTGCAGTGTCCCACTGTGGAGAGATAGTGGGCAGCTGCATTCCATTGAACGTGTGAGAAACCAATGACAAAATGAAGGTGCTGGTGGAGGCTGAGTCCTACCCTGCTGTAATAAACCCAGTCATCTTGTCTCTCCTGACCAAGCAAGAGCCCTTGACTTTTTGCTGTATGCTTTTAATTTCCCTTTTGCTTCCTCTTCCCCTCCAAACCACACAGTTTTCTCTTAGAATTGCTCACTCCCTCCTCCAACTGTTGTCCATGCTCAAAGTGATTAACTCTGCCCCTTCTCTGTGTCTGCTCCTCTGAAGATTACTGTCTCTTGCTTGGAATGGATAATCCATCAACCAAATGGCCTGCTGCCACCCAGGGGTCTGTCGCAGTCCTTTGGCACTGGTGCTAGAAGGTCTCTGACTACACAACCGGCGGAGCGCGGAGAAGGCAGCGCACCGGGAGCAAGAGCAGCACAGGCCAGAGTTCAGTGTCCCAGCCAGCATGTGCACACATAATAATCAGCACACATAGGCACACTCATACTAGCAGCTCAACAGCCTCCAACCCCAGAAGATGGCTGGAAGAGAAGCACAGGAAGAAATTAGCTGTCAGGAGACAACTTGCCTGCTCTCCCACTGCAGTGACCTCTGTTACAAATTCTCCTTGCTAAGAGCCAGGTAGAGTTTTCAGATTACTTATGGAACCTGAATAGTGTTATTCTAAAGCAAATATGGAAGTGAGCTGGAGCTGAACATCAGGCCCGTGCTGAGCCCATATCCTGTGAGCACACAGGGCTCCCTGAGCCTTGTTCTTACAACACTCTAAGACTTCCCTGCCAGAGCTGTGCTTCTACAGAATGGCTGACAAACTCCTGGCCTGGTGATGCCATTGCAGACTTGGCTCTCTTCATCGCCTTGCCAAAATGCCTCCAGCCTGACTGCTGTGCCTGTCCCAACTGCCCAGGCTGAGCACAGGTCTGAGTTACACCACTATTAAAGACAAAACTATTGGTCTTTGAAGTGATTTAAACCACACACAACTTCTCTCCACAAAGAGGACAATTGATAAGCAACATCAGCATCTTTACAATATATCCCAATCCACAGCCAAGTCTCCTTCAGCCTCGGGAGGCAAACCAAGCATGAGAGAAACATCACTGCAGAGTGGGCTAAGAAGGAAGGGTGAAGTAAGTAAAGTAACAGGGAAATTATTCGGCACATGGGTCTACCATACAGACTGCTTTGGGCAGGTGGGCATAGCCCTACCAGCTTCATGCAGCCAAGACAGGGCAACATCTGCCTTGTGGCTAAAACAGGGACCCAAGGGAAGTGCCCCATGCTGTCAGTCCCTCCTTGTGCCTTGTTTTCTATGCCCACAGCACCAGCCAGCAATGCCTTGAAGCGATAGCACACAGGCTTCCAGAGTAGCAGAAACTGGGGAGAAATAGGGCTCAGAAAACCAGTTGCAAGTGGAACAAATATGCAAAAAGAGAGGCACAGTGCAAGACACAAGGTTCTTTATGGGAGTAGGGCTAAGCTATCCAGGCAGCTGGCAGAGTGAATGGACATCTGGCTGATATAACAAGCCATTTAAGAGATCAATTTTCCTCTACTTTTCACCATTTTGCTTTCTCTTTTTTCCTTTGTGTTTCCCTTATTAGTATTTTTTTAAGGGCAGACAGCTTATCCCATCAAGCTGCCCTGAGAGGAGGAACTAGGCTGCCTGAACCTCTACAAGTTTCCTATTGACAAGCATCTATTCAAATCCTTCTCCAGTTTCAACCAAGAGAGGCATATAGATCCCAGAGATAATGAAAATAGGTAGGTGGAGAGGGGAGAGAGGACTCTCTGAGCACCCGCACTGAGAGAGACTGCAGTGCAAGCTAAAATACCAAGCACCAGCAAACCTTCATTGAAGAAATCCCATAACTACCACAGGCCATAGGAAACACGTTTAATTTGCTTCTGCACTCAGAAGAGCACTCGCAGGTGGACATGGAGCAGGGAGTCAGCAGGTGATGGAGGCAGGCACAGCCCATAATGGTTGGATCAGCAGCAGGTTTCTGTGGCCTCTCTGCAGACAGCAGGCACACCATCTGGGAGCAGATGCATCCCTTGCACCCAGTCTATCATATGGGTCCCTTCCTGGCATCATTGGCCAGCCCTTAACTGTGTATTCATGTCTGGGACTTCCAAAAATGTTTAAAAGGCCTCTCCATCTCTCACAAAGGAAAGAGCGTTCTTGTACCTCTTTACATCTGTCCCAAGGAGACTGTATCCTCTATGCTAACGATGCTGGGCCAGTTTCCTAATGAAACCACACTGTGCCACTAATGCTCCCACATCCTCTAGGTAGAGCGAGGCCCGTGAGTCTGCTCGCTGTGCAAGTCTTCCCACACCTTCTCCGCAAATAAGCTCATGCCAGGTCACAACCTGACTCCACCGCTGACTTTGCTGGCACATGAGTGCCCGACAGTGCCTTCAGAAGTTGCTGAACAATACGAACCTTAATGATGGATGCGACTCTTGCATGCTCCCTGTGGATTTTCTGTACTCTGCTTGGGAGATCCCATTTCCCCTCTGAAGGAAGTAGGCAGCAAATGGAAAGGCATTATCCCTCCTATTTGCACCGAAACTTTGGCAGAGCCAGCACATAAAAAATGGAAGGAGCCATATACCTTCCTCTTTCAAAACCAGAAGGGCTAGGATGCTTTCCAAGCCCAGAGACAAACTTCAGGCCAAGGCTGACATTTCAGGGATCATTGCCAGTTAACTTAATGAATAAAATTCTCTTCTTCAGCCACGCTCTGTGCATGCTGGAGAGGAGCTAGATTGTTTTCCTGCCCCAGTTCTGGGAAATAATTTTTGCTGCATTCACTCAGAGACATCTGTCTGTTTTCATGCTTGCAGTATAAGCTGGTGTTGAAGTTACATCTGCTCTCAGCTCCCTATCCTGGGGGCTACTTCAGGGCAAAAGTATCCATTAACTGCTTACTCTGAAGTACACATTCAACAAAAGCATGAGCAAAAAACATAAGGCTCAAGCTCCATGTATAAGTTGTTGGCTGTGGCCATGCCAGGAAAGACGGCGACGGAGTGGTCAGGAGCAGGGTGGTGAGGATGCACAGGCTCCCCAGCACCATGCCTGTGCCATGGCTTTGGCAGAAGGACTTGCTCCTGGGTATCCCAGTGCAACCAAAACTTCCAGGATGCACAGTGGCCCCCGACAGTCACCGTTCCCAAGGGCAGCCGGACTCTCATGGCAGCTCTGCCCACCTCCTTGCTGACCCCAGGGGGACACTGCTTCAAACCCTCGCAGTCCTTCAGACCTGAATCCACCCACCCTCCGCTCACTGCCACTGAGGCGCGAGCAGTGCTCCCCCACTTCATGAAGGGATGTTTCACCAACCACAGCTTAAAGATGCTGAATAAAATAGCAGTGTGTTCCAAAACCTACAATAAAAAGAGAAAAGGTGAAAGAGAGGGTTGGGTGTGGTCTGTTTTAGGGGGAATGAATGACTGGAAACAAACACCAGATCCCTGAAAGCTCAGAGAAAACAGGAACAAATAGTGGAAGAAAACCACATAAGCGGGGGGAGGCGGTGAGGAGAAGAGCTCTTGGTATTGATGTTTGAAACGGTCTCTTTAAAATGGAAGATAATGACACTGAAAATTATTCTGAGCTTTTCAAAGGCATAAATGACCAAACTGCCTCCTGACTCCTGAATTACATTATCCAGAAAGAACTTAATAGCATGTTATTATCGCTTCTCCTCACTGACAGGATTTCGGCACTGAAAAGACAAACAAGAAGTGCATTCATAATCACAACCGCATTCACCTCTGCAACGCACTGGCCACAGCTAATTTCAGGTAAGTGTCTCAGCAGCCAGCCGGGGAGCTCAGCAGTGAGGTAATTGCCTTTGTCACTACCTGAGAGGGAGCAGCTGGGTGTCCCCAGTGGCAGCTAGCACCAAAACCCTGCTTTATGGGGAAGAGTGGCATGCCCTGGACTGGCTGATGGCAGCTGATGGGGACCTTTCTCCATGAGGCTGGCTCCAGTGGGTCACAGTGTCTCCCATTTTGGCAGGTACCTGTGAGGGGCCTAGGCTGTGTGGATGGGAATGGGGTCCCTATGCCTGCTGCTGCTGTCACTCCAATGGCCTGATGAGAGCTTGTAAGAAAAGGAGCAAGACAATAAAGGGGGATATAGGAATATGTGAGGGGTGGGGAGTGTTAGTAAAGAGCATGGCCGGAGCTGTCCAGAGATAGCCCCAACCCTTGGCATTTGTCATATCGCTAGTTTTCATGACCAGCAGCCCTGAAGGAGACAAAAGTGTCGCTGATTTCCAGAGCTGGCCAGTTTGGCCAGCCTCTCTCCCTATTCCTCTACCTTTGCCACCCCATCTCCATGCCTCAGTTGAGAGGTCGGAAGGCAACTTGGCCATATTGTGCTCCCTGCCAACACTCACGCCCTGGCAATGTCCTGGAGGGGCCTGGTAATCATCCTGGTGTAAGCTGGGGATGACCCTGGTGCCACATAACACCACTGTGCCACTGTCTGACAGCAGTTTGCTTTGGGCTATCCCCAAGGCTTTTGTTTACATCTTCCTTGTGCTCTTCCAAGGTGTGCCACTGCAGTACAAAGCACCTCTCTCCCAGGGGGTGCTCCATCTTCTCCTGAAACTTCCTACAATGGCCAGAGATTAGGCTGGCTGCAGCTAAGGCAAGGCAGCATGGGAGCTCAGCCCAGAGGGAAAGCAATAAGGAAGGGAAAGAGGCAGAGAGCTGTGTCTGGCTCTGCTAAGCTGCCACTGCCATAGGATGCATTTGCATGGACACAGATCATGACCCAGTCCAGCAGGATCTCTGTGCAGACAACCATCCCTGCTATGGTACTGTGCGACAAGGCCAAGCTTAATGCCAGGGGCAGCCTTCAAGCAACACTGTGCCCTGCCCATTATTTATGTCCCAGGTTTAAGAGCATTTCCTTTCAGCAGCCATGCTCTGACATATGCAGCCAGTGAAGAAGGTAACTGCCAATAGTAACAGGCAGCTCTGTGCTCTGCTGCCTGCTCGCTACACACGTAGTTGTGATTTCCACCCCCACCCCCCCCACAGCACAGTGTGGCAAATAATCCTTCCCCATTCCCAGCAGAAGACAGGCTGTGGAGAGAGCTTATGCCGTGCACCCAGAGCTGTCTACGTCATCAGGGTAGGACTCCCCAGCTCACACTTTGCAGAAGGCTCCAGGGTAGGGGTGATAAGAGCATCTGCTCCCATAATAAAATTTGGGTGCTGCCAAGGACAATGCACATATCACAGGAGCACCCAAGCAGCTTTGCAACCCCATACCCTCCCATGGAGACCCCTACAGGATCCATTTCTTGTGCAGCAACTGCTTGGCAGAGACAGCAAATGCAGCAACCAAAGGAAACCATGGGAAGAAGATCTTGGACACGGCTCCCTTGAGTAAAACCATGGAGCAATCTCAAAAATGAAGGAGTTCCATCAATCACATAACCTGTGCAGGATAAAGACTGAAGAGGAAACTGCAGGAAACAGCCCTCAGCCAAGCAAGGGCTGTGAGGGCAATCTGACACAGCCAGCACAGCTCTGCATCACATTCACTGGTTTCAGGAACTCTCATTCACTGGGAACACAACTGAACAGCCAAGTATGGTTTCTCCAGGGTAAGACTCTTCTCCCAATTGACTGTTCAGCCTATTGTGCAAAGTTATCAGTGGTACCACACTTAGCTGACTCCTGCACCACATCTGTCTGCTTTCCTCCCTTTATCTTTCTGTGCCGTCTCTCCACTTCACCCCAATGTGTTTTGTGCCCGTTGATACCCCAGAGTAAATCCTCAGTCTGTATCATCTCATTGCTTAGGCCTCCAAACCAGCTGTTGCAGAACACTATTTGCCTACTGACCTTTTGCTCACAGATACTACAGTTACAGGTTTGCCCTGCTCCAGTTTCTCTGATGACGCAGAGACGCTACTGCAGTCCCAGCCCATACTGGGTGCAGGGCAGGCAGCCCTGGGACTCAGTGCCCTGTGATGTATGCATCTTATATTGCCAAGTTTTCCTTTCAGCCTTATCGGCATGATGGATAGTTTAGCCTTGGTGAAGTACAAGACAGCAATAACAATGCCCATAATTTTTTTTTCACATTTTCATTAAGAACAATATGCATTACCAGGCTTTATGCATGTCACTTTGTTTATTAGCTACCATTCAGTAACCTCTTCCATCTTTGCTTTATTAAAGCTAGATGTATTTCTAGGCTGAGGGTTAAAAGGAGAGCAAGGGCTCATGGAACAGCCACCCTGGGGAGATGCTTGCTTGTGTACATCAATGCTTAAGCCTGAAGCTGCAAGCCTGCAAACCACCACCAGCTAATATGCATTTTACATGCAGACTTGTCCTGCTAGGTCAGGCCCAAGTCCTGTAACCTTCTTAGCACAGCTTCAGTTACAGGAAGAGGCTTTATGAGTGTTTTTTATGCTCGTATGTATCAGAGTATGGAAAAGTAGCCTCAGCAAATAAGACTCTGAATCAAATGGAAATAAAAAGAAAGTAAAACAAAACAAAATAATAGTAAAATACCATGGCTCCTCCCTACTCCACTGTTCATGCAGTCTAGGTGAACAGTCTTTACCAGACCACCAGAAGTCACGAGTACCTGGTTAGAGCAAGCAGCTCAAAGGGGAAGCTGTGCACAGAGCATCCTGAGTTCTGACATCCCGGCAGATCTAGAGAGACACAGAGGATGGCACAGAATTATGCTCTCTGGGTCACACAAGTTAACCCAAAAAGGTTGTTAGCATTTGACAAGGTCAGCATGAGCTGCACAGGGTCAGCAGAAGGTGTGAGGGTAAGAGTACCGTCAACGTCCTGCCCAGGGCTCTCTTGGGCACTGCTGTGGATGGACATACAGCCATGCTCCCCACAGGGGACAGAGGCACTGATCACTACCCCAGCAGGTGTAGCTCCAAATACCCTTTCAGGGAAACTTCAAACTGTCTTGATGGGACCTGATTATGATAACAAAGAGATCACTGAGCATCCTTCCAGCCCACTCAGGAAGCCTTCAGCTGGATGTGCATATAATTTAGTTCCTCCCAGTTTAAAACCTATTTAAAACCTGTGTTAGCCACATCAGGGTCCTGGAAAAGGCACCCACTGCCAGAAGACACTGGACATGAAGGTTTTGCCCAAGAAAAAAGGACACAAGAGGCAGCTGGCTGATCAAAACTGCAAGGCAAGGTATGCAGGCTGGCAGCACAGGTGGGCTCACCCCCAGCTCCACAACTGAACCAAACAAAAACAGTTGGTAAGCCCCTGGCCTGGACTTCAAAACAAAGACAAGACCTGATCAGGGATGTTATCTCATGTCTGAGCACAGATAGTAACATAGAAGGAGAGCTGAAACGCAGATCTAACCGCATCCCACAGCACTGACTCAATGGCCATGTGAGCCAGCTCCCTGCCTGCTCCATGCCATGGTTGTATGGCTTCACCAACAGGCTGGCTGGGAGGGCCCACTGGGCATCTGACTCCTCTCCTGCTCTAAGGGAGACTCTAGCCAGCAGACCAGCTGAGCCACTTTGCTGGCCAGCCAAGATAGAGCCCTTTTCTGGGTGACGTGTCCTGGCTTTGCACCACCCTCCCAGTGAAGTTCATTCCTAACTTTGCAAACTCTGACTTGTGGCCATCAGCCCTTGTTTACTCATCTGATACTGCCAGGAGGAGATTGGCTCTAATCCCCTTTCAGAGCCTCCAGCCATTATCAGCTCATCCTTTTAATTCTTCCTTCCAGGACTAAAAAAGTCCATCTCCCTTACAAGCTATAAGAATAGGTCCTGATCATGTCATGTGCTCTCCACCAGACCAAATAAAGTTTTCCAACATCTGTCTTCAACCAAGAGAACTGAAGGAGGACATAGTTTCAGGTGAGGACTCAGTAGCACCAGGCAGAAGAGAAA